GACAATGAGAGACAGCTTAACAGAAGAGGAACATAGAATAGGGCTCCAGTGGCACAGTAAACACTGGAGGCTGAAAATGAATTTTTTTTGGTCTTTTTCCTTTTTATCGGTACCAGGGATCGAACTCACAACTGCCTGCTTGCAAGGCAGGTGCTTATGCCGCTGAGCCCCTGAACCCCCAGCCCCTGAAAATGAATTTTTTGAAAAAAACATGGTATTAGAAATAATATGAACTGCCTAAAATGCATTTCAAACTGATCCCGTAAAGTTATGAACACAGGAATAGGTGATTAAAACACTCATTTCTGGTCCATCCTTATTTTAATCAATGTGCTACTTTGACCAATCCTTTCCCACTGATTTACCTTGGAGGCTGCATGACTACTCCTGGTCCCTGCTCCCACCCCCAAGGTTCAGTTGTTACCTCAATGCATTACCCCTCGCTTTGTGGATTATGCATACTTCCTCTGCTGAGAATGCTGCTTCCTGCTCTGCTCCTCACCTGGCAAAGTCCCACCAGGTATGCAAATGAGGCCCTGGCCATTGCTGCCACTGAATCAGCTTAGTGCTTTAGCCCATCAAACACTTCCTCCCCTCGCCCCCAGACCAGGGATTGAACTCATGACCACGTGCTTGCAAGGCAGGCGCTTATGCCGCTGAGCTAAATCCCCAGGCCCTAAGTCTTTTTTTTAGAGAAGAAAAAACAGCACACAGTTCCATTGCTGTGCTGAGATGAGCTTTTTATACTCAACCACCTGATCTTGTATATCATCAACTGCCATAGTAATCGAAAAACTACAATTCCTACTGTAGACCATTACTAAGACTCTCCTGAACCAGGCCTGAGCTATATATCAAAATCTCAAAAAAATTAGATAGAAAAATAAACACGTGAAGCATAATGTCCATCTGTACCCTACATGAGTCCATCTTAAAAATGGACATTATGCTTCACTTGTTCATTTATTTATCTATCTAATTTTTTTGATTTTGAGATTTTGATACATAGTTCAGGCTGGCCTTAAACTCTCTACATAGGCCACGATGGCCTCAAACTTGTGATTCTCCTGCCTCAGCCACCTGAGGACTGAGATTACAAGTGTGTACCACTATGCCTGGCTTAGGCTCCAATTATTTTTGCACATGTCTTTTTTGTACAACCAGAGGATAAACTGCTTAAGGGTACAGACTATCTTAATCTGTGGATCCTCCGCAAATAACACAAGGTTATATATCTAAGAGACATTCTATATGTTTGTGAAACTCAAGCAAGTGCTTGTTGGAGTGAATTCCAATAGTTTCCTCATGCAAGTCAACATTGGAAAGACATTCAACATGCTGAAATTTTCTGTGGAGATTTGACTACGTTGCTCAGAATCTGTCTTTTCCCTTTTATTCTGGTTAAATCCAGTTCTTCATGCAAGTCAGTTTCTAATGAGCTCTTTAAATACTTCCTAGGCAGCAGTAGAGTTTGGATCAGTCAGGCAGAAAGATCAAGCCTGTAAGGTCACAAACAGGGCCCTAAGTTTTGAGGCAAAGCTAATTGCTATGTTCATCTAATTCTAGGATTCATCATTCTGTTCCACTGTTGGCAACTACACTTTATAAAGAACTGCTAACCGAAATGAAAAGCAGAATTATTTGGATTTTTGGATTAATCACTTGAGACACTGCTTAAGGACAAAATCAAAGGCAATTCAATGAATGAATTTCCAGATGGTGACTGTATAAACATGTCCTTCTGGAAAGCCTTTTCTCTTGACTTTTTAGTCCTTTGTTGCAAACCTAGCAAAAACAAATAAATCTTATGTGAACAAATCATCCATGGGTCTCAGCGTAGTACTTAGAAAGAAGTTTTGGTATTTCAAAATCACAAAGCCTCCTTCTTGCAGGGGTCATAGCACAGACAGCCCAGGAAACCCTGTGTTATGGTTGATACTTTGTGTCAACTTGAGAAGTTTAGAAGTTTAACTAAGAGATTCAGCAAGGGCCAGGGATCCTTACTTGGTAAATATCCTCATCCTGTGGAAGAGGAGGGCACAGAGATTTGTGTGATACATCTGTCCTGGGGATTGGCGGCGGCGGCGGGGGGGTGGGGGGGTGGGTGAGGGTGGGGGTGGGATGAGGTGGTGGTGGCCTGAATATTATATAAAGGAAGAGAAAAGGCTTGTTCTCCCCTCTTTTGCTCTGGCTGGTTTTGCTGTCTGTTGCCTTGAAGTGTTGCCCTGGTGCCATGCCACCCTGCCTTGGAGCCAGCTGATTATGGACTGAAACCTCCACAATAGTGAGCTAAACCTTTCCTTCCTTCATTTTGGGTGTTAGGTATTTTGTCCCAGCAATGAGAGAAAAGTAACCAATATACTCTGGGAAAAAACTTGACTCTTTAGAAAATGCCACCACTTTCAATTTTGGCTTTTACACTGAATTGCAGATGAGAAGACTTTAGTTACTTTATTTTTAGGAACATATTATTGAAAGATTTCATTAGGAGGGTTTCTGCTTCCCCTTTTGAAAGAAGCTTGCAGTAGATCAAAGTGCCACTGAAACTTAGACAAGCGAGATTGGAAAACATCTGTGTGAGGTCATGAAGGATGCAACAGTTCACGATCCAAAAGAGAAGGAGCCACAAGAGGCATCCAGACCTCTCCGCAAGGGGCTGGCAGGGGATTTCATAAATGCATAAAAAAACATCTGAAAAGGTGCTCAAAAATTACTAACATGGAGAAAATTCAATTTAAAGCTATAGAAGATGGTGCAACAGACGCACAGCATAGCTTAAGTTAAAAAACAAAGCAAAAAGATCCACAAGGGCTACCGAAGAACAACAGGAATTTTCAGAGAATGCTAAGGGGAGAGAAAAACAATAGAGAATAGTCTTCTAACTCTAAGCATAAGTCTAAACTATGACCCAGAAATTGCACTACGAGCTATACATGTAAAAGAAGCATCTCTCCTGTCTCCCACAAAAGACAAGCACAGAATATTTCTATCAGCATTACTCGTTTAAATTTGAAAGTAGAAGTCAAGTGTCCATCAACACACAATGAATAAATAAGCATATTATCATATAGCCACACAATAGGCTACTAAATAGCAGTGAAAAAGAATAAGCTACTGTCCTAGGCAACAATATGCATCAAAAGTTGAGTGGGGGAAGAAAAGCTACACACAAGGGAGAACTACGGTGTGATTCCATTTAATGTAACATTCAAAAGGAAGCAATGAGGATAATACAGATCAGAGCAGTGCTTGTCTGTGTAATGAGGAGTAATGACCAGAAAAGGCTGTGAAAGCTCCATTAATGTTCTCTGTCTTGATATGGGTTACAAGGCACATTCACTTCGTAAACATTCACAGACTATAGTTACAATATAGGCATTAATTCACTAGACATCATGGCAAACTTCAGATTCCCGCTCCCCTCCCACATCTTAATTATACAAAACTTTTGTTGCACAATTTCTGGGTTCCATTTTTCTGGACCCAATATGAAAGGTGCTTTGTGTACGAGTTATCCAAAATGGTGATCCTGAGTGTGACCCTGCCTCAATTTCAGCTGGATATATGATGGTTCACAGAGGCACCATGTTTATCGGCTTCTCTTACAGCTCAGCATCACCCTGCAACTATGTTCCAGACAACGGGATGTAGTGGAAGTCTGGGTGTGTGCACCCTTGGCTCTTTGCTTCTTCCTCTGGATTAGAACATGGCCCAGAGATGGAAGGCAAGGGTTGAGAATGGTTGAGCCATTTTATGTGCAATGCCCACCTATGTGTGGACTGGGATAGGAGAGAAACAAGCTTCTATCTTATTTGAGTCATTCATTTAGGGTGTCTCTTTGTGAATGCTTGTACTCTCATTAGTACTTTCATTAACACAGGCATTGAAGCATGATATTAAAAGCAGTTATATAAGTTGAAAACTTGGTACCTGTAGCATTTGATTTTTAGTACGAATAATAGTATTTGTTTTATGGTCAGCTGGCCACTATACAACCTAGAGAAGGTTATAGAAAATAGCATAGTACAGGGGAAAGAGTATTTTTGTACAAAGATGCTTTTCTTGAGTCTCCTAATTCTGTCTCCTAGTAATATAGTGCTTTCTTTTATAAACTTACAAAGTGGGAAGATGTCTACATTGTGTATATAACTTGAAAATATTTTTTGAATATGGAGAACAATCTTTTTTACTTATATGCACTGTTTGTAGTATGAAATCACAATATGTTGTAGAGTATTCTCCAAACTGCACATGCTGGTGCATGCCTGTAACCCCAGTTACATGACAGACTGAGGCAGAAGGATCACAAATTTGAGGCCAGCCTGGGCAAAATAAAACAAACAAGGCTGGGAGGATAGCTCAGTGACAGAGCACTTTGCACAGCATGTATGAGACCCTGGTTTAGATCCCAATACCCTCCTCCCCCACGTACATTTTTCAGGCACTACCAGCATTGATAAACACCAAATATGAACAATAAAGAACACAGCATCTTTACAGTAGGACAAGTGGACAACCACCAGGACACTGAGGGACACATGATTAACTGGGCCCAGTGGAAATGGGGACAGAAGAGGAAGATCAAACAACAATAGATAGATGAGTTTTGGGTTCTGACTGAAAATAAACGGATGGATATTTTCTTTCTAAATCCTTTAAGAATCTCAGTGCTCCTTGCTTATATACAGCCTGAGTTGAGCTTGTGTTTATCTGATTCTTTAAAATTTATTTGATTTGATTGTCTTTTTGAGATAGGGTCTCTTCTGTAGTTCAGACTGGCTTTAAACTCACTTTAGCCTCAAACTCACAGTGATCCTCCTGCTTCAGCCTCCCAAGTGCTGCAATTATAGATGTGCGCCACCATGCCCAGCAAATTTTTATTTATTTGAAAAGAATACATACATAACATTTTTGAAGATAATGGTACGGTCAGCACACAAGTGACATTTAAAAAGTTCCTTAATACTTGACATAGTTTAACAATACACAACTCATCTTACCTGGGGGTTTTTAAATACAGCATATTTTTCCTCTTTCTCCAAAAAGAGTACTTTATTTTCTGTGTCTCTTGTCCAGTCAGATAAGACTTCAACAACATTTTCATGGTCTTCAAAAAACCTCTCTGATGAAGAAAAAGTATTCTTTCACACCAAGTACATTAGGATTTCCAACTGAGAAGGAAGCTTTGATTGAGTGAAACATCACCAGTGGTTCATAATTTTCATCAAGGTTTCCAAAACTCTTAATGCTTACACAAAGTCATTTTGAGTGTCCCAACTATATTTATCTGTCAGTGTCAGGGTTTTAATTTACCTTTCATAAGAGACATTACAGGTAGCAGAACCTGTAACATAGCGACAAAGGTTTGCTATCAAGCTGTTTATAAAAAATGCTATCATTTTAAAATTTAAATGTCTCGGATGGAGGCAAACTTCCCTTGGGAGGACAACACAGCAACATGGGTTGAATGCAATTGTGAGATCCATCATTTGTGGTATAAAACATCTCACCTTAAAACTCTATAGTGTATAAATACCTGAACCAAACTTAACATAAAGAAAGGCTTTCTTTTCTTTTCTTGATTCATAGAACTGAAGAAAACTTCAAGTGGCTGTTATAGTGTAGACTTTATTTCTTGCAAAAGAGAAAACTTCCCCCTAAAGTTTCCCCCTGCTCTTTTTTTTTTTTTTTTTTTTTGAGACAAGGTCTCACCATGTAGCCCAGGCTGGCCTTGAACTCACACTAATCTCCCTGCCTCAGCATCCTGAGTGCTTGGATTACAGGCACCATACTTGACTGCAAAGCTTCTAAGGCAGGTAATTTTGTGTTCCACTCAGCACTCCTGGGAGACAGTGGTCCTGGGAGTATTGCTAACAATAAAAAGTAAAAGCAAATTGCTTAACTTGCTTTAAAAAACAAACAAACAAAAGTCCTCCAGTCAGGCTTGGTGGCACACCCTGTTCTCAGTGCTCTGGGGAGTTGATGCAAGTTAGTGACTTATTGAGACTCTATATTAATAATAATAATAAAATAGTAATAACAACAATAGGGCTGGTGATGTAGCTCAGTATAAAGCCCCTAGGTTCAATCTCCAGTACTGCAAAAACCAAAACCTACATAAATTTCTATCACTGTCCTTTGCTTTGTGGGACAGAGCCTTTTCCACTTGGCAGACTGTCAGGGATTTGGGAAGTGGAAAGGGAGGAAGAGGGATAAGCACGGACATGAGGTCTGTGACAGAGTCACATTATACCCTCAGGAGGCAACCTCCAAAGGGACATTGCTGACAGACCCCTGGGCCCTCCACATCTGCTCAGCCTGCTAAGCAAACAGTAAGAAGAATCACCTTGCCACTTGATTTCCCATGTCGCCACTAAGGAAGTGGCAATAATGATGCTTATATCCAGGACAGTGCAGCCATCTGCTACAATCCTAAAGTCCCTATCACAAAGAAGTAAAGAGTTAAGTACTCACCTATGCAAGGGCAGTGACATGCAGCTATCTAGAGGACACTGGATGGACTAAAGTCTCACATAAAGCAAACTGCTGGAGAGGACTTACCAATCTGTAGTTCTGGGTATATTTCATAAAGACACCAGTCCACATTGCAGTCACAATGAGTTTTTTCAAAAAGATTGTCTAGAACATCTCGGGCCAACTGCCGTTCATCCACCATCAGTGACTTGGTGCTGTTATCATTCATGTGCACCTTGACCACGAGCTGGGGGTAAAGCCACAGAGCAGCCAGTGAGTTTCAGCACCTGGAGAAGGCCATTAAGGTTTCAATGCTGCTACTTCTTCTGCAAATGTAAACAAAAACGTGTCCTGGGAACACATCATAAATGTGCTTATTGTCACCCACTTGAATTTCAGGAACACTAAGGTGGAGAAACCGATTCAAAAAAATAAATGATAAACCAAATCCTTCCTCTCTCCAAAGGCTGCATTCTGGTGGCGGACACAGAGAACAAATGGAACCAAAGAAGTGCTGACTTCTTGCTTTCCCAACATCCTCCCTCCATTCTGGAGGCCAATCACCTTTCTAAATCAAAAGCTACTTCAGTGTCTTTATAAAAACGCCTCTTTGGCTTAGCTGGGCCTGGGCTTGTCTTCATGTTGCCAAAGAGTGTGGCTCATCTCTCATCCTTCGAAAATGAGCAGAGCACACCACGACACTGCATAGTGAACCTGCGGGGCCTCACAGTGGAAGCCGACTGTGGACAGGAGAGTGCAGGTCAGAGGTAGACTTTAAGGGAAAAGAATGTGGACCGAGAAGCACACTGTTCTGCAGGCACACAGGCAAATGATGTACCTCACTTATGTTTTACTCCATTAAAAGATCTAAGGAATGAATTCACAACCATATTGACAGTTATCAAATCTGAAGCAGACTTTACTTTTCTCCAGTAAGGAGACAGGATAGCACTGGCCTTTGTAGTGCCAACATTTTAAAACTTTTGCTTGCATACACATTTTGACATTGTAAAACAAAATTAATTCATGGAGTAATGCAGCTAGGTTTGCATCTCCATTGGTACCTATGCATTTGTGGCATTATTGTTGAGTGTTGGTTCTCATCACTTTCCAGTGAGACTTCTTTAAAAAAGTGATTTAGTAAAAAGTGATACATTATAGTAATAGATTTGCCTTCTTTCCAAAAGTTTGGGTTAGGTCCTGAGATGCTCCCTGACCCATTCACGTCAAAGTGATCTTCACAACACTCTGCTTAACAGAATGAACAGTACCATTCCCGTAAGTTGCTAGGCAGAGCTACTGACAGCTACAGAAGAATGTGCCTGGTGATAAGAATTTAGGTGAGGTGCCTGGCCATGACCACAAATCAAAACACTCACTCAGCCCCTCTCTTCCCAACATATGCACAATAAAATCAAAATGTAGATGTTGGCACAGTACGTGTATTCTTCCTCTCCAGAGACCTATCAAATGAGACCTTTCCTCTACCTCTGTCTGACAAATATTTTTTCCCTTGGAAACCTGTAGCTCAGAAATCTGTAGTTGGACTACTGCTTTTTCCACATGTCTTTGCTTTTTCCTATACTTAAAATGACAGGCCTGAGTACCACAATATCAAAGATGTATTCATCTGACCTCAGGAACAGACATAAAAGTTTGCTCAGATAAACTGAAATTCCTCCCCAGCAGTCTTTATCATGATTTATTTTCCTGTAGAAGGTATTCTTTCTGTTTTCTGATGAGAGTTATAGCTGTAAAGTAGCTATGCACTCTAGGAAATGTTACCAGTGTTAGGGCTTAAAAACTTAATCTTCAGGGTGGAAAAATTAATGATGTCTAACATTTCATTCCTGCTTAGGAATTCTTAAGGAAACATGTGTTTTATTTTTAAAGAGATGAAAGAAGTAATAAGACACATCATTTCACAATGATGGAAAATTTTTTTGGCAGAACTTGAGGCTGGGTTTTAATTCACATGTACTTATGAATATCTAGAATTATAGAATTTAGATAATGCAAAAACTGAGAGAAGGCTGGTGACTTTTAAAAGGAAGAAATCATATTTACAATTCTTTTTTTTTGCACTACTGGGGATCAAACTCATGGCTGCGCACTTGCAAGGCAGGCACTTATGCCACTGAGCTAAATCCCCAGGCCCCATATTTACAATTCTTTACAGCTTTCCTTACAATTAAAGTTGAAAAGTAGTTCTATTCAAGACAAAAAAAACATAAAATAGCAGTGTTATGATGTGATATTGCAAGCTAAGTACTTTCTATATTTACATGATATTGTATGGGGACAAAAGAATTCAAAAATGAAAAAACCTTCATTTTCTAATCTATTATAGTAAAAATTTTATAATTTTTCCTAAGTTTTATTTGCAAGCTGTAAAAGGCAAAAAGTATCCTAGCCCCATATCATTAGCATTGCCTTTTTTCGGCTTCTGTAGTGAGATTAACAAGTAGAATTGTCCCCTGTGTCACAGAACGTCAGAACAAACAGATAAATGAATGAATGTGATTCCATTTCTAGTTTGAAAAGCTTTGCAGCACTAGCAATGTACATTGTTCATAAATGATTTCAACACTCTTGAAACACTTGAAAGCAAAGTCTTTCAGATGGACTAGACTCTGAGTCTTTACAAACATGTTGCAGATTATATTTAAGGACCTCACAGCTACTTTCTCAATGTCCGAGTGTCTCTTTATTTTCCTAATGTTCTGTGCCATGGAGAGGTTGTTATCTTCAAAAAGTAGATTGGGGGGTCTACAATCAGAACACACAACTCATCTTGGTAATTTCCTTTCTTTTTCACTCATCAAAGCGGCTTCTGTCTTACATCTTCCTCACTGCATCAAAGCAGACTGTGCTTTGTATTCACTGTTATAATTCATCCAAACAAAACATGGTAAATCTCTCACTCTCTGATGGATGGCAGGAGATAGCTGCCGTGTCCTCCTGTTCTCTGACAGGCCAGCTGGAGCAAGCTGACTGCATCTGCTGCTTATTCTACCTTCTTGTGTATGAGACACCTTTTCTTTTTATTTCTCTTCTGAAAATGTATACAGTGTGGCCTCATTTATAAACAATCCAGTGTTGTAAAACAGTCTGTGAATTCTGGGTCTATTCTTTTCCTTTCATCTATCTGCACAGGTAAAATCAAGGACTCTGTGCTGCCTAGCTAGATCTCCTAGCATCTATTTGTGACTGAAGTCAACATGTGCCCACCTGGATGTCAGGTTTTGTGCTGCAGAGGAGTTTAGGACAGGGCATCCTGCTAGCATTCCCTATACCTACAACCCGGTTTCCATAAATCAGTCTGATCTTTATAACCCACAAAGTCAGCCTCACATGCCCTATAAAAACTCTCACCCTCCTGTATCCCTTTGTACTTAGGAAACTACTCAGTCTTTTCTCCTGCCTGTGAGATCTGTGGCTCCCAGCCACCTCTCCGACCTCAACTCCTTCTTTGTCTTTTACTCACTGGTTCATAGTACAAGGGCCACACTGTCTTTGCTTTTTGCAGTCGTCAAGCTCATTCGTAGCTGATCATCTTTCACTGCACGTTTCACCTGGGTGTTCACCAACACCACATCAGCCAGCTGCTTCTAGTCGCTGAGGCCCTCGCTCAAGAGTTACCTCCTCAGAGGGGCTCGTCATCACCAAGTCCATCTAAAAGTGTGATCAGGGCACTTGCTGCTACTTCTTCCTGTCTCCCTTGCTAGAACTCGACACAGGAACCACTTTCTTTGATTCGTTCATTTGACTAGAAGCTTCCCTGGAGGAGCTTCTAGGAAGGTTAGGAGGGATAGAAGACATACATTATTAGGTGCTACATTGGATAGTGAGAAGCACTGAGGAGAAAAATAAAGCAAGACACACAGGCAGCCTTGCGATGTGTGTGAGCAGCCTTTGAGCTGGAGATTTGGCTCAGCTGCAGCAGCTGCATAAGTGCCTGCCTAGCAAGCGCAAGATCATAAGGTTGATCCCTGGTACCAAAAAAAAAAAAAGAGGAAAAGAAGAAGTCCCCTTTGAAATTTTATCATTAATTATAATATCATTAATTTATACCCCCCCCACACGCACTTGTGCTTAGATGAGTCACAGTGTTTTACCTTCTTAACCTTGGCCTCCTTCAGTTTCTCCAATGCCAGCTTAATCTTATCAGCCTTGGCTTGGGCCTCTTCTTCTTCCTGTACAATGCAAGACATTCACACAGCCCATTGAGTGATGCCAGTCTGTGATTATGCCTGTTGCTAGTGTCTTAGTCACTTGATGGTGACAAAAGATTCCCAGGTTCATGTTGGAGTTTGAGAATCTAAATGGTTACTACCAAAATCTTTAACCTGAAGGTACAGAAAGCAGCGAGCTTTTCTACGCTGGGGCTGTGACACACGAGACAGACTAACTGATGAACATATCAAGTCTTCATATATTTGGACCACAACAAAATAATTTCTGCTTAGCTCACAAAGCAGGGGCAACAACCTTGGAGTATAAGATGATCCCCATCATCTCATGGGATTCAAGCACTTCCTAAAATTATATGCACACTTGGATTACAATGTCTTTTGGGGGAATTCTTAGGTTTTATCAGTTTTAAAAGGCTCTTAACTCCCCAAAAGTTAAGACTTAGACTCAAACTCAAATTTTTAAATTACCAAAAAAAAGCACTGATGAACAAACATATGGGCAGTCAGAAAAAAAGAATGGAGCATTTTATGAACCCAAATTCCTCTGGTTTGTGCAAATTAATATTCTGAGAACAGGATTATTAAGGCTGTCCTATTTTACAATGAGAAGTAAATGAGCTGTTGTGTTTACATCCTAGTTTTTGGAAGTACACACACATCTTCTTACACCAGTGGTTCTTTTTTTTTTGCCACAAGCCTCTCATAAAATGATATTGAAAGTGAGGATTTCTATAAAGTTTCATAAGTAAATTCAACTTTGTATTTATTTTCAGGGAATTCACAGCTTCCTGCTGTCTTCATGGGTCCTATTTTAAGAGCCTTTGCTCTACATTGACTGTAAATTTTCAAGTAAATATTCCATAATCAGCACACAGCATAGCAATGTAAATGATGGAGTCTGACTATTTAACTTATATTTAAAATTTGTTCATTCCAGTGACAGTGAAGGAATTTCTAAGGTGACTAGGCTCATTGTTGTGAATACTGAGTATCACCACTCAGTACTTCAATTGTGGCGGCCACAGGAGACAGAGATGGGTTCTTACTTTAAAACATTTTTCAGTGGCCCACTGTCATGATTTATGTTGGTGGCCCCCAGGCCTCATGTGTTTGTATTGTGCGTTTGTGATTGGTTTATTGTCTAGTGCTTAGACTGATGGTGTTAGTGCTACACTCACCTAGGGTTGGAGTCAACATATAATGTAATGGCAGGACAAAGGTATGCCTCACTGTTTTGCTAGTTTCTGCCTTGCTGTTTGCAGCTGCTATGAACTGTGGCTCCACCCTGCCACCCTACCTTGGAGCCACTAAGTATGGACTGAAACCTCCAAAAACTGTAAGAAATAAACCTTTCCTTTCCCAATTTTGGGCATCAGGCATTTTGTCTCAGTGATGATGAGTAAAAAGTAACTAAGACAGAATTTGGTACTGAGGAGTGGGGTTGTTTGCTGTGACTATACCTGATCACATTTTTCGAGAGGCTTTGAAAATAGCTTGTGGGCAGAGTTTGGAAAGATTAGGACATGTCGCCTGGATACAAGGAGCTGTTCTACAGAACAGCTTAGGCTGTTCTATAGAGGAGATTCTGGTCAGAGCTCAAGAGACCAAAAGGCCGATAGAAAGCCTCATGGTAAAGACCAGGCTTGGGAGGTCTTTGCTAGGAAGAAGGCTACATTGGTTGTTGGACTCCCCATGATGTGTGTTTGGCTCAGCACAAAGTTTGTCTGCATTTTGCTCATGCCTAGAGACTTTGCCTGAGACTGAGACTAAAGTCAATGGACTAATTAATTGGGCAAAGGAAATTTCAAGGCAGTCGAATGTTGAGGCTGTGGCATGGCTACTGTTGGGGGCTTTTAGCCAGCTTTAACCTGCAAATCAAGAGTAAAGAGTCCAGCAGGATAATTTACAATGCTGTGAGTTTGGCCAGATGGAAAACTCCAGAAAAGCTGTGGCTTATAAAGACAAGAGTTGAGACTCTGATTGCTGAGGAAAAACAGAGAGATAAAAAAGTTGGCCACAGAGCATCCCAGGAAGCAGCAGGTCTCCACCCTTTGCAGCCTTAAAACTGCAACAGTGAAAAAATTTGCTCAGAGGAGAAAGCTACAGAGCACAGTGCTCCAGAATGGCAATGGAGGTCACATGAGGTTCCAAAATGGCGACAACATAGAAAAGCTTTTCCTCACAATCAGGTAAACAGAGCCCAGTGATCCTGGCAACTGATCCCTACAGCTAAAAAAAAAAAAAATGCCTGGCTGCTGCTCCAGCTGGCAGAAGACCTTTGCAGCATCAACATCATGCTGATTTTAGGTACAAAAAAAATGCACAAATTCTGAGGGTAAGATGGCTTCTACCTCGATTGCAAAGGGCCTGGGAGGCCATGCAGTGTACCCCTGAGAGGGCAAGTTGTAAAGATATAAAGGTAAAGCCAAAGGTGCAATAGAGAACCCCAAAGTTTAAAAAAGCCAAAAACATAGATCATTCAAAAAAAGCTACAAAAAGTGAGCAGAGAGGGTTTAAGAGAAAAGCTGCAGGAGCTAAAATCCCTAAAAATGCCATGGGAATGGAATCACCCAAGCCTTTTGGCATTTACAACCAGATTGCTTCAAATTCTGATCATAAAACTCTAGGACTTAATGTTCACCCTGCTGGATGTTGGACTTGCTTTGTTTCCAATGCTTTATATTCCCGTTTGTAACTTTTGAAATGGTAATGTTTATCTTGTACCTTTGCATTTCAAAAATGTTTAACTTTGTTTCATTTGTTAGGAGATTACAATTAAGAGTTTGTCATAGATCTTAGAGGAGACTTGAGACTTAGACTTTTCAAAAATGCTAAAACTGTTAAGACTTTGGCAACTCTTAGAGATAGACTAAATGTCTTTTATATAAAAGATGTACACGAGTTGTGGGTGCCAGGGGTAGAATGTCATGGTTTATGTCTGTGGCCCCCAGGACTCATGCGTTTGCATTGTGCATTTGTGACTGGTTCATTGTCTAGTGCTTGGATTGATGGTATCAGTGCTCCACCCACATAGGGGTGGAGCCAGGGTGTAATGTAATGGCAGGAAGGTTTGTCTGTCTCTTTTGCTGGTTTCTTTCTTTCTTTCTTTTTTTTTTTTTATCGGTACCAGGGATTGAAGTCACGACTGCCTGCTTGCAAGGCAGGTGCTTATGCCGCTGAGCTAAATCCCCAGCCCCACTTTTGCTGGTTTCTGCCTTGCTGTTTTCAGCCACCAAGAACTGCAGCCCCGCTGTGTCACCCCTATGTTGGAGCCAACTGAGTATGGACTGAAAACTCCAAAAACTGTAAGAAATAAACCTTTCCTTCCCCAACTTTGGGCACCAGGTATTTTGTCTCAGCAATGAGTAAAAAGTAACTAAGACAACTCACTTAAGAAAAATCCTCAAAAGTTGGTTTACTTTTATGAGAGACATAGTATGAAAATAATGTGCCAAATAACAGCAATATGAAATTTCCAGCTGTTTGTTCCTTTAAGATCAGAAACTTATTACTATCAAACACTCATTACATACCTACCTGTTAACATCCTTCCCAACTATGACATTATGAGTGATACTTAGATCTGTTTTTGTCCCCTCAACAGGACTAACAGTCATAAAAATTCAATTCAGAGAATATGTAACGAATACCTTTTATTATCTATATACTAGGATAGACCAGGGACATGAAAATATATGTGTTAGTTCAAGAGTTCATTCAAAGTTAACAAAATATTTTCCCTAAAGGATGATTATATCATGGTGCATGTATATATGAGTATCCTTTTAAAATAAGTTATGATAAACACTAAATATGGCCTTGATATGATCTCTGTATATACCTGCTATTGTTTGAATGTGCTCACTAAAATCCACGTTGAAATTTAACTTAGATTGTGTGGTATTAAAAGGCAGGGCCATATGGAACCTTTAAAAGATAACTGGGTCCCAAGGACTCTTCTCTAATGAATAGTTTAGCCCATGTAAGGATTAATGGATTATCATGCAAATGTCTGCTCTGTCTCACCATGTGATGTCCTCTGCCATGCTATGATGCTACATAAGGCCTTCACCAGACCCTGAGTAGATACTGGTACCATAGTGTTGGATTTCCCAGCTTTTAGGACCATGAGCTAAACAAACCTCTGTTTTCTGTACATTACTTGGTCTGTGATCTTCAGTTATAGTGACAGAAAATTGTCTAATATAATACTTAGGCTTCTTGTGATAGAGGGCTATGAGTGTACTGGGCATCCTCATTCTTAGTATCTCAAGGGTTTTGAGCATGCTAACTTATGAATGTAACCACCACATCAAAGGTTACAAGTGTTAGGTAGCATAGGTCAGTGTTCCTACCATCTCTAGCCCCTTGCACTTACCTTAGAGAGGGGTTTGGGAGGTGGTGGAGGTGGTGGAAGGTCTAACAGGGGGTCGGCTGGTGGAGGTGGTAACTCATCCTCATACTGGCTGATGCTAACAGCAGTGACATCTGCTCCAAAACCTACAGAGGCAGCACCTCTGCAATTTGAGTCCTCCAGTGACGCTGAATGATTTTGATTTTGAGAAAACTCTTTCTGTGCCTGGATTGTCCGCTGCTCTGCTTCACTTATGTCTGCAACCAGATCTGCCATGAGGGCATCTAAATCCTGGTCTTCTAGCGCATTTAAGGACTCTGATGGAGAAAGCCATATTAATAATAAAAAACTGTTTGCATGCGCAAAAAACTAAAGAAAGATGACTTTTAAACATCCTATTTGTGCAGAAGGAAATTATTTTGACTTTGGTGACATAATGAAAAAAGTTGAAAATATTTTTATTCAGCAGCACATATACAGCATAGAAATTTCTGAGATGATTATTACTGAATTTATTGAGTGCTTAATGAGAGTGAATTTCTAAGTCAAACAGAAAAATGTGTTCCACACAAGCACCTCAGACATCAGCTATAATGTCAAATCTAAGCATATGAATAGATATGTAAGTGGGAATTCTTGAATGTCTTACTGCAATATCTTAAGGTTTTAGAAAAGTAAGGGATGGATAGAAGGCAAGTTCTCCTCATGCACTGAGTATGCACAATTTGCTGATAAATGTATTTGGAAGAAAGTCAATTTCAATCAACTGGATTCAATACAACTGTAGGCTCTCCACCCAACTACAGGAGACCTCACATTCAAAACAAGATCAATTAATGATAAAAAACAACAATTATAGCAGTAAATGTTAAGGAATAAAAAAATTAAATGGGATCAAGTGGTAAAGACTTTATGAAGACAGTGAAATGGGAATGAATTTTTATAATCTGGGACAGACATGGATCTTCATAGTGAAAGAGAAGGGGGCCAGTTTACCTTAGTGTTTCTCCCCAAGTGTGAGACTGTGGAGGCAGACGGTAGGTATGACCCTGGGAGGTGACAGGACAGCCTGGCATGCTGGGAGTGGTGTTGGTGAACGTGACAAAGAAAGGGGAGGCGCCTGCCTTGCAAGCAGGCAGTCGTGAGTTCGATCCCTGGTACCGATAAAAAGGAAAAGGACAAAAAAAAAAAAAAAGAAAGGGGAGGCAGGCTAGAAGAGACCTTTGAGGAAGGTAGTTCTAGTTGTTCTGCTCAGGAGGAGCCAGAATGATGAAATGTGCACAGTAGCAATAAAGTCTACTTAGTAACAAAGGAAAGCTTTGTGAAATAATTTACCACCAAACAGCATAAACACCACGGAGCACATTACATCAGAACTAGTACTTCCAGTGTACAGTACTCATAAATTTGGGTCATCTAGTTGTACAAGATAGATTTTTTTTGTAAGACAATTTTACATATAACTTGTTTATAAAATAAAGTTAAATTAACTTAAAATATTTTCAGAGAACAGTTATGTAAGATTGTAACATAATTTCCTAACAAAACCACATTATGAATGGGTGAGATGAAATCTGCAAGGGAGATATAAGTAAGTACATTGTAACTATTGCTGTCATAGATTTACAAAAGACTATCATTTTTTGAGATTTCGCAGATGACTGGTAATAATATATATCTATATGGCTGATAGAAAAGAATGTAGGAAAAAGGAAGTCAGAATAGCTGCATTATAATTTATCAGAAAGTAGTCATTTATATTTAATGGCATATCAAAAAAATGAAAACTACTGAAAATGATAGAAACGAAGAAACTCAAGGGAGGGAAAGAAACACGACTGAAACTCTGGATTTTTGTACTTAGGCTTCTATTTTATATTTTTTTATTTTACACTTTTGTAGGCACTGCAAGTCTTTGGTAAATCTTTTTTAAGAGTTCCAGTGAATTATCACTAATTTGGCAGTGATTACACAAAACCTGCTGCAATCTGAGTTAAGGATTATTTGTGCACTAAATAACAAGAAAAATTTCTGTTAGTAAAATGAGTCAAGTTCATAGAGCATGAAAACATATCACATATGGCAAATTATATAAAACAATATGCTTTAAATAAAATATTTATATTAGATGTATTTATATGTGCATTTTCAGTCATGATGGTGAGTTAATTTTTATCCTTTTAAGAACATTTCCTTATTGGTATTCATTTAAACCACGTGTTAATAATAAGAAACTCTTATTTCAAAATAAGAGATTGTTTTAAGACTTTTGTTACAAAAGTAGGAAATATTCCCATCAGTACATGCAAAAATATTCAATTCTCTTCCTTCAGTCTAGACACAAAAAGACACAATCTGAAATCCAGGACTTAGTATTTGTCTCTTTACCACTGTATTCAAATTATACTTCCCATACAGATTTCAGTCACCATTATGGAATTCAAAGTAAGAAAAGAAATTGTTATATTTACCATTTAAATCCTTAAAACCCACACTGTAGTTAAATTCAGCCCCCGGAGGCTTAGGGTCAGGAGGAGGAAGAGTGTCCACGCCCAAACTCTGTGAAAACAGATCCCGGCCCAAGTGTTATTCATGATGCCAACATTTCTGCAGCACATTTTAGCCAGCAAGTCAAAGACCATGCTTTTTGATTTTGATTTTTTTATTTTTAAGAGCATAAAACCAAACAAAATAAAACAGAATAAAGCCAATCAAAACAAAACAGTGACAGGGATACAGAACTTCAAAACAAGATAATAGGAGATCAACAATAGCTGTCATAATGCCTCTGGTTATCTTCGAAATAGCTGTCCATACCATCAGATCTAATAAAATCAAATAAAACAGAACAGAATAAAACCAATCAAAATAAAACAGTGAAAGTGATACAGGATTTCAAAACAAGATAATAGGAAATCAACAATGGCTACCATAATATCTCTTATTATCTTCAAAATAACTGTGCATGCCATCAGATATAATAAAATGAAACCAACAAAACAGTATAAGAACAATCTAAACAAAACAATGAAAATGACCTTACAGGACTTTAAAACAAAATAATAAGGCATTAACAACAGCTACCACCCTTTGAGACATTTTCTCCCTTTTCACTCTTACAATATCTGTTGTACATTGTGGATCCCACTAACTCCTTCAGTTTTTAAACTAGGGAGACAGCATGATATTCACTGATGTGAGTTCAAATCATTTCACCCAAAAGCATGATCACAAGTTGTATCCATTTACCTACAAGAGCCTCGTGATTATCCTTCTTTATAGCTGAGTAGCTTTCCATTCTATAAAAACGCCATGTCTTTCTCATCCATTCTGTGGTTGATGGTAAGCTACTCCTGTTTTTCTGGTTCACTGTCAGATGGAGCATTGTTTTCTTTCCTTTGATTTTCAGTCTATGAATTTCCTTTTGAGTTAGTATGCTTCTTGTATACAGCATATTGATGTATCTTTGCTTCTTGATCCGCTCTGCCTGTGTTTCTTTTTATTGGCTAATTGAGGCCTGCGTTACTGATTATGGTCAGCATGCCCTGGCTCGTCTCTGCCATGCTTCTTCCTGCTGTTGGCTCCCTACCTTTGCCCTCCATTCAGCTGCCTGCTCTGCTTGGTGATCCCACTTTGCTGCTGTTCCTGGGGCCATGGTTATCTTTATTTCTTTCTAGAATATCCTTTAGTGCTCTTTGTAGGGTTGGTTTGGTGGTCATAATTCTTTCAGTTGTTCTTTGTCATGTAAGTATCATTTCTCCATCAATTTTCAAAGATAGTTTTTCAGGGTACATCAATTTGGGCTGGAAGTTGTTTTCTTTCAGTACTCGAAATACTTCACTCCAAGCTCTTCTTGATTTGATGGTTTGTGCTGAGAAGTCTGCGATGGTTTTCCTTTATAGGTGATCTGTTTCTTTTCTGTAACAGTCTATTCTGTTCTTGTGCTGAATTTCTGGGATCTTGATTATTATACCTCTTGGTGCAGATTTATTTTGGTTATGGCTATCTGGAGTTCTACATGCCTGACTTATCTGTATGTCAGGTCCTTTTCCCATGCTTGGGAAGTTCTCGCTATTACTTCTAGAAATAGTCTCTATGTCATTTGTGTTAATGCCTGCTTTTTCACTGACACCTATCATTCTTAAATTATTTTTCTTTGTGTTGTCTTCTAGCCCCTGAATTGTTATTTACTGGTTCCTTGTTATTTTTAAGAGATCTTTCTTTTTGTGATTGCTAGTTGCCATCCTGTCTTCAAGGTGTAAATGTCTATCTTTGGTTTCTTTCAAGTGGTTTTGCCAGCTTTCAATGGAGATTTTGATTTCCTGGCTACCCTCTATGAGTCTGTTTCATGCATTCCAATTCTTCTCTATATTGTTCATCCAAGGTTTCCCTCATTTTCCTATGCTCTTTTTTTAAATCTATGTTCTTTAGATATACTCAGTTACCTTTTTATTGTCTGTTATTTCTTATTTTACCTGATATTATTTCTGATTTGATTTCTTTTACAGCCTCATGAAATAGTTTCTTCACTTCAGTTGCCATAATCCCAGAATTTCAGCTATGTAATTTCTGCTTTGTTCCAGTTCTATGTCTCCTGGACTTGTTCTGTTTGGGCTGGTGGCCAGAGATTGCCTTTTGCTCTTTCCTCTTGACATTTTCCTGGGTTCCTCTGGATGAGTGGATTGTGGGGTCCCAGGCACTTCCCACATTGGCTACCCATCCACAGTATAGGGGTATGGGTTAGATACCTGGGTTTCTCCTAACCTAGGCTTGCCAGGAGGCAGTACAGGGCAGGTTTGTCTACACATTTGTGGCTTTTCCAAGGTGTGACTAGGGGGGTACTCTCAGGAGAATTCTGATGGCAGCTGGGGTGGATGTAGGTGAAGGGCTGGCTGTTTCTCCCGGCCTGTGCTGGTTACCTGTGGGAGAGTCCCGATGGCAGCCCACGTGGGTGCAAGAGCTGGATTCCCATTCATTCTTTATACATTTCTCTCTCTAAATATGTTCTTTAAGGACCAAGACCTTAGTTGAAAATGTTTGGTGCTATTTTTCCTCTACAGAAAAATACAAATTAAAAAATTATTCTACAATGAACATCATGAAATGGACCATATCAATTGAGAATGATGAAAAAGAGCTAAGTTTAAGAAAACAGAAAATTTTTCTTATAATTTTGAATATTATATATAATTCTATAAGGACTTACGTAATGAAATCAAAAAAGAAATATCTAGCCACTTGGAAGAGAAAAGCTGTTTCAAGATATAAATCGCCACTATGCAGTAAAGTGTTATGCTGTTAGTTTTACTGTTAATATGTTTGTTAAAATAGATGTCACAGCTCTAAGGGAGCAGTTCAGTAATAGAGTATTTGTCTAGTTATGCATGATGATCTGGGTTTAATTCTCATCAAAGAGAATAAATTATCAACATTGAACATATTATTATAAACATTATTTTACTAGGAACTAAGAGAATCTTATATGATTTAACAGTCAGATTACATTTATAAATTAATTTCCAAGAATATTTTTATGTCTATAATGGGAGGAAAGATTTTACCTGTCCACATACATAAATGTTTTATAACTGTGAATGTATCTGTTGATGTTAATTTGATTTGGTAAATGATGTTCTTGTCCATTTTTAAAACTTTTGGAGGAAAACGCTGTACATTTAAAAATAAAAAATAAATGAAATATGAACAATTTTAGCAGAAAAAAGTGACGACTAATCAAGAGATTAGAAAAATCAGCTCAATCAAGTTAGAATCAAAAATGTAGGGGAAAATAACAGTCTTAAATTTTTTTTTTTTAAAAGACAGTTTCTTGCTATGTAGTTCAGACTGGCCTTGAATTTACTTTGTAGTCCCAGGCTGGCCTTGAACTCACAGCAATCCTCCTGCCTTAGTCTCCCAAGTGCTGGCATTACAGGCATGTGCCACTATGCCTGGCTTAAAATACATTTGTAACAACAGAATCACCATACAAAAACTGTCTCGAAAATGAACGCATAACAGACACACTGTGATGCAAATACCAAGACAAAATATCTAGTGAAATAACATACAAACAAAAATGCATTCACTGAATTTGTTTTTAATATTGTAACTAAGAATTCTGCACTACAGTTATGGTACTCAATAAATTTTTTTCAGTAATATAATTTACTTTGCTACTTAGTGAAGTTACACATAGTTCTGTAACAAAACACGCCTAAATTCGTGGTAAAACAGGATTTTAGTAAAATGGAGGAAAACAGGGATCAAAGAAATAGCAAACTGATCTTATAAAGGAGGTCTTTTAATTGTAGAAAAATTATTCAAATCCTAAAATGAAGTGAAGTATGTAATGCTTCTCACTATATATTTTCTGTGGCCTGTGAAATGAGTTTACGCGCATGCAAAAGCACAGGTATTAAATATGCATATTATTGTGTACCTATTTGAATGTTTGTCAGGAAAAAGTTAAATTAGAATATTAAATCTACTTGAGGTAAAGTTTAATTGTTAAGAACTCAAAGACAAATGTTAAGAAGATAGTAAGATAAGTGGTGCTAGATATGGCCAAAACCAGGAAGGTAAATGACCAAAGTGTGACACTATTTATTACTCACCTAATCAAAAGCCACAGGCTTGGAACACACTTCATCAGAACTCGTGTCATTTTAATTTTCTAATTTTTCCTTTAATTTCAATATTTTAACTGGAATTCTTCTACAAAGAGCCTTGGATTATTTATTCTGAAATGCATTTTAACTAAGACTACAGAGAAATTAAAATAAATGCTTGACTCTTTTTATTAACTGTTCACAGCAATAGGTTAAGGCTCAGGCAATTTCCAGTGGTAACCAATTAAGCAAGTTTCTTTCTTTCTTTCTTTTTTTACTGGAACTGGGGATCAAGCTTATCCTCATGCCTAGACAAGTGCTCTACCACTGAACTACATTCAACCCTTAAGTTTTGTTTTTATTTTTGCTATTATGATCTTTTAATTGATTTACTTTTTGCTATGGAGAAATAAAAATATTTTATATTTAAAGATTTCATAATTGAGAATGAATGAAATACAGTGTATTTCTGTATATTGTATCTTTCTTAGGAATGCTATCTATATTTTGAGATTATAAGATTGTATAATTTTTTTATGGGCTGGGGATTTTTAGCTCAGCAGCATAAGCGCCTGCTTTGCAAGCATGTAGTCGTGAGTTTGATCTCTGGTATCAATTAAAGAAAAAAGAGATCATATAATTTTTCTCCTACATTTTTATTCTTATATTTAATATACAGTATTTAGATTTTAGATTTGTGGAACTCAGTAAGGTGCAGGATGTGAGGTTATAGTATAGTTTTTGATTTCACGTATGCATTATTCCAAGATGATTTATTAAACAATTATTTTTTTCATTTATTTTAGGGTGCTGCCTTATTCAAGAGACATTAATTACCCTTTATCAGGATATATAAAGAGAGATTAATAATCTAAATGAAGTAACATGTTAACCACTGAGAACCATGGGAGAAAAGTAAGTATAGTTTCTTTCTAGTATTCTTTCAATTTTTCTGTAAGCTTAAACTTATTTCAAAATAATAAAAGTTATGATCACATATTTAATTCCCTCATTTTGAGAAGTTAGGAAGACCAAGTTTTTTTCATTCATCTCACTCATAACCTAGTTTGAAAGAACGGAATAATTGCAAAATTTACAAATGTAGATGAAAACAGAAGATTTTCTTTTCTAATTTAAAAAAATTTATTTTAAAGAGAATAAAACCAAGTAAAACAAAACAGAACAAAGCCAATCAAAAGAAACCAGTGTGACACAACTTCAAAACAATAGGAAATCAATAATAGTTATCATAATGCCTCCTGCTGTCTTCAAAACTGCTGCAGATACCTTCAAACATAGTAAAAACTAACCAAAATAGAACAGAACAGAACCAATAAAAACAAAACAATGAATGCAATAAAGGATTTCAAAATAAGATAATAGTAAAATGGCTTGTTATCTTTGAAATAGCTGCCCATGCCATTGGATATAATAAAATCAAACAAAACAAAATAGAGTAAAACCCAACCAAATGAAACAATGAAAATGGTACAGGACTTCGAAACTAGACAGTAGGGAATCAACAAAGGCCACCACCCTCAGAAGGAGATCCCCAAAGATGCTACACTGCATATTGCCAACCTTCTGAACAGACGATCAGATTATCAGTTTTAGACCTGCAAATCAGTGAAACATTAAACACTACAAGCATTAAATTGTATTCCACCTCAATAGCATTATCACCACCTGTGTTCCTCTGGATCAGCTGCTCACTTATGACAACAGGAGATTTTCAAACGGCTGGAAAAATATTGAATAACCTCAAAAGCAATTCATAAGGATCAAATTGAAGGACAGACCCCAGACTTGGGGACAAGGGAGGGCCTTTTTCACACCCTGAAACTTTGGGACCTACCTTCTGGGAGAGCTCTATTAGCTAAGAACTACAACCATTTGTACACATGAAAGGAAGTGCAAACTCCCAACGGGTCCTGACGGAAGATAGGTCTGTGAACAGGTTCTTCTCTCCTGCTCTCAAGTTACAGTCACGATACTCAGTCATGGGTTGATGACCACCTGGACTCTGGCCAGTCAGGACAGTTACTTTACCACTGGCCGCAGAAGATACTGCAAGTACAGATACTGACCACCAGCTTTTATTCAGACTTGCTCCTCCCTGGGAGGGAAAAATAAAGCCTTGACTCTAGAAATGTCATCACCATCTTCACATTCACCTTTTAACTCAGTACTTTTTCATCAAAGGATGTCCCTTCTTTCATAGAATCCAAACTTTTTGAAATATTATTAGTAATGTAAAATAGATGCTAGCTAAAATTGCTTTATTTTTTTCTTAAAATAGTCTTCTAAAACACAGACTCTTTATTTACTTTGCAGAAAATTCAAGAACCCTATCTTAGGAATACTGTATTAAACTATGCTTATTTTGACATTATGCTCAAAAAATGGTGAGCTGAGTACCCTCTGATTCAAAGGAACATTTCTGAGAACATTATAAAGCACACTAAAGCTCACCAGATTTTATAGCCTGGGTCAGTGGCCCTGCGGTCTATGGCCCCTGGGCTCCAGCTGACCTGACAGTGGGTGACCTCTAAGTCAGTCTGGTTTTGGCAGAGCTGCAGCCTATGGCCAAGTGGTTTCACACGCCTTTGAGGGGACTGAGTCCATTCAGGAGGCCACAGTAGCCCCACTTAGTCCTTTACAGCGTGATCTTTCCTCAGAGGTTGATAAAAATTCTTTACTAAAGAAAATGACATTTTCTCAGCTAGTTTTTAAAACAGTAACCACAAGGAAGACTGCTCAATGGTGGTGGTTATAAAGGTTTGTGCCTGGTGAAAATTCTATTGGACACAATAAGCAAGAGCCTTGTCAAAATACAGTGTATATGTGACCAACATATTAAATGAACTGAATTCAGAAGGATAGAATCAGAAAAAAATCTTTACCTCACTACTGTCACAGTCACATCAAGAATATACAATACTGTCAGTCCTCAGTTTTTATAAAACACAGCATTCTTATCAAATTGAAATCGAATTCTACAATCCCATTTTTGCCCTAAATTGTAGGTAAAGAAAGGAAGCTTACCTGGGTTAGAAGATCCATCTCTCCCAGCAAAGTGCTGAACATTTGGTCTATGTCATCATTTGACTCACTCATCTGAAAAAGGAAGAAACCCAGATAGTTAGCAGTCTGCAAAAGCTTACCCTGGGATAATTGCTATGGCTTGAATCTGGATATCCACCGACAGTTCAGGACCATGGCACTGCACAAAAGGAGGAAAGATTCCTCAGTCTCTGTCTAATCTATATGCTGGGCGGGCTTGGGGGGCTGCTATGAAGAGACACCTCAGCGTGAGATGGTTTCAAAGGACAGCCCAGACCTAAAGTCTCTGTAGCTTTTTATAGAACCAGGAAGCAAGGATCAAAGAAAAAGCAAGGTGTCTGGGTAGGACTCATGTAGGGCACAGGGGAAAACCAAGGGATGGTGAGGAGGTCTGCTGAAGGTCTGACTTTGGAACTGGAACTAATTTAAATGATAAAGCAGTGTAGGGAAGACAAAGACCAAAACACTCACTCCTTAAGGCAATGCATTTGATCCCACTGTGACTTGTGGCCCAGTGGGCTCTCTTTTAATCACTAACCATGTACTCTAGGAGGTTTTAGGCACGTGGCTCTAAACTCCCCTTATTTCTGAACATCTATCGCCTATGTACCTCTGGTCAACATCCTCACTTCCCCTTACAGCCTCCTGGGTCATAGATGGAACATTTTGGAGGTGGTTGGATTTAGGATGTGTGAATGTGCATTAAGGGTGTGATTCTGGGATTAAGGTTGTAGATAACGGAAACCCCACCCTGAGTATGAAATATAAAGAGACAGAAATAAGATAGGATTGCTCCTGCTGCTGCTTGCTGCTGCTGCCTCCTGCCTGCCACACCATGAGCTGTTTCTCCTCTGTGATTTTCCTCTGCCAGGACACCCTGCGTTGGAGCCAGACTATAAACTGAACCCTCTGCAAATTGTGAACTGAAATAAGTCCTTCTTCCTTCAACTTGTGAGGGTCAGGCATTTTGTCTTAGCAATGAGAAAGTAACTAAAACAATTGTCATGTCTCTTTGTTTTCTCCAAGAACTCTATCCATGAGTTGTTAAGTTGCAAAGAGAGCTATAAGGAGAAGAAAGTTCATTTTACCCTGAAATCTCATGCCTGATCTCCATCTAACTTGCACAGTCCAAGATGGAACCAAGCCTTGGCAAGTGACAGAGCAGCAGCTGAACTTTATTTTTCAAGACTAAACTGATCTTGATAAAGCCAAATGGATATCATTCCCAAATTCCCCTCATTGTGGCACACCTTATTAGAAAAAAAAAAAAAGCCTCACACCACAGGTTACTGTGTCAGTGAAATGTAGAACTTCACCTCCATTTAAAAATGGTTGCGAAAGTGATACGGCACTATCAAACGGTTTCCTGCTTTAAAGATCTCTCTAAAACAGCAGCTTAGGTATACTTACTTGAAAATACTAGGTGATGAATATTTAGAACTAAAAAGGTCACAACATTAAAAAAAAAAAAGAGAGATGGAAACAAAGCATTGTTTTACACTATAACTTTTTTTCCTCCCTGAAACAAATGAAGTAGCTGCCCAGGAGAGAAAAGCACTGCAGTGAACGAGGGACAGGCACTTTGAGGGGTATCTCAGCAGCTCTCTTCCTGACATTTCTGTCAAGGTTATATGGGTAAATTAGGAGCCAGAATCTGTCCTCTATTAGTCACTACTCTGTAGTGTGTAGTTTGCTAAGAGGAATCAACTGCTCCATCTATAAGGTGGAATATGTCTCTGTGTAGGTGTGTGTTTAAAATAGATCCTTTGCTGAAGATTTTCTAACATAAATCAATCTAAAATCTTATAGTAGTTTACTCTTTAAAATGACTTCAAATTAATTCTTTAGCAGTAACACAATTTCTGGCAGTTTTAAAAAATCAGGGTTTCTCTCTCTTTGTAAAGTATGTAATGAAACATCCTTGTCCTATTGATTCTGCTTTCTTTTTAAAAGATGACTCAAAGGATTTTTAAACTATCCTAATCCTTGAAATTAAAGTGATATAATGATAATTTTCGTAACAGTAATATTTACCTAGCACTAATTATATTCCAATAACTATTCTGTGAGCCAGAGTTGGTATTAAAAACATTTAGATCCCAGCACAGCATTGACACTGAACAAAAATAAGAGATGAGACTATGAAATCTATCTTGGGCCATCAGTATCTCTCCTCCATATATCTATCCTACAGAGCTAGTATTTCTTCAACAGTAGTCTTGGGTTTATCATGTAGGGAATTAAGCACACTAAAGTTTCCTTGTTTAATTCTCATAAACGCTCCCATCTCCTGATTCAAAGAAGGTAAAGCAATGCTCTGCCTCTCACCTGTGAAACATAAACGCTACTCCGAGCTCTAGTTGCTGACTATAGACATATCATCTCAGATTTTAAGTTTTGTATGTTTTGCATGAGAGGAGGGACAGTGGACTTGCTATGAGATATGTTAGTTTTCCAGACTACTCTGTCTGGTTTCCTTTGGAGAGAGTGTCTTGCAAGAGCATGGCAGCTGTAAGACTGGGTTGAGAAAATGGCACCAGGAGAGGGACTTTTGTCAAGGCCAGAGAGATCTATGTACCAAAGTACAAGCACATCCCTTAAAGCAGCCACCACCCCTATCAGGTGCATGCTCGTTTGGGACACAGGTGCGCTTGAACCCAGTGAAACCATTCAGCAAATGCTCGAGGTCAGACCACAAGGGTAGCAGGTGAGCACTCAGGCACAGAAGTGACAGGGAAGGCAGAGCGCCCTGTATCTAGGCCGGAGCATGTAAGGTGTCAGGGCGGAGCCTCCCAGAGTGCGAGAGAAGGACGAGGGAAGACAGCTTCCTACTTGCTGTATATAGTGGGGCTGAAAAGTATTTACTGCAGCCAGGAGGAGGAGGGTGCAGCGGACCCTGCTTCTGATTAAAGAGGGAGCAGTGGGAGGACTCATTCCCACGCAGTTTGGTTTTATTCCCGCCGTGGGGCTCTTGTGGTTTGGATGCAGTTTGCCCTCTAAAGGTTCAAGTGTTGGACACTTAGTTCCCAGGTTGGAGGAGGAAGCTTTGAGAGGCAAGGCCTACTGAGAGATGAGCAGGTGACAGGCTTAGCTTTAGCAGGGATCAATGCGGTCCCTGAGTGAAGGGACCCCCCTGAGAATGAGGCGACAGAAAGCAAGCCTGGCCGTGTTGCCTACCATCGGCTTTCTGTCTCTTCCAGGAATCTTTTCTGTATACATACTCATCATTGTGGTGTCACTTGCCATGAGGTTTTCAACAGAGACAAGCAGATGCCAGCCAGCACCACGGTCTCTGCCCTCCAAAACTGTGAGCAAAACAAACCTCTTTTGTTTGTAAAGTTTCCAGCCTCAGGTATTTTGTTGTAGTAGTGCAAAACAGACTACTATGCTTCCTTTCTTCAAATTCCCTATATAGAGGAAGAAAATTAAATAATATAGCCCTGACCTGTCTTCTAAAACAGTGTCTATTTCAAAGCTTATAATAATTTTGTTCCTTACTTTAATAAGGAGCAATTATTAAATAATAAAACTTCTAAATGTCCAGTGCATTTATTTCCAATAAAGTGTTAGGTGGTTCAGTAATGTGACAAAATAAAGGACTACTTAATAGGAAAAACGGAGGCTTTTCATAAGACAAAAGTAATCCAGTCAGAGGGTAAAAACAGATTTATTTGCTGACCTCAAAATCTGCCATCGCATGTTACAATACACTTTTAGGAACCAAAGATTTGTTAGCAATAAGGAAGCTTCTGTTGAGGTTTTCTTAAGCAAGTAAATTTAGATAAATACTGAAACGTTGAAGAATAAAGTCCTGATGTGACATCAATGAGTCAGAAAACCCCACTGAGCCCAAAGCCCTTGCTCATGGGGTGTGCACATCACTGCTATGCAGTGGCTGGGGACAGGCCGGAGTGAATCACTGCCGAAGACAGAAATAGCAGCACAGCCTCCTGCTTCTTCTAAGCCCGTCTCAGTATTCACCTGGTAAAAATCCCCTCTGTCGGGTCATACATTTCCCCTAGAACCTGAGTTTTAATTATGAGGAGCCAACACTGACACTGCGTTGCCAGTCTACAGTCATAAAAAAATACGCTACCAACTGGGTCATAGTTTAAAAGCTTTGTCTTTAGTAAAAATAAGACATTTAATTTGAGGGGTATTTTTAACCTCAATTTTTATTTGTCTATAAGTTCAGTCATCTGACATCAATGATTACCCTTCCTGCAAGAAAACATCTTAGATTAAAGACACATTGGACAGGCACACACACAAACACACAGACTCTCACATGGTAAAACAGCGCTGTGCCTACTAGTACGTGCAGCATTTCCCAAAGGTCAAGAGAGAAAGAAGAACACCCAGTCCCCAAGCTAAAAGTGTTGCTCAGACTAGCAGTCCAAGGGCTGGCTGGGTGAAACTTTGCGCACTGTGGAGCAAGGCATTGCAAAACAAGCCACGTTCACAACATGACTGGGTGGAGTCAGTCATTTTTTCATAAGTACATCATTTCTGAGTCCATCTGGTATCTAGGGAAGACCAGAAATTGTTTACTAAAAGAAAGTTGTGATAGTATTTAATCAGACAGATCTCACTGTTTTTTGTTTTGGGGGAAAGTGAGGTATGAGATGGAGGAAGCTGATTCTCCAGGCTGAACTTCTGTCCTGTGTTCCTTGAAAAACAAAGACACTCTGCCTCAGCTCAGTATTTCTAGGATTCAGTTTTTATCTTCAAGTACTTTCTCTTTTCCCTATAATTAAATTTCAAATATTTAAGTTAAGAAAATCTGTGCTACGTACTCTGATACTTAGCACATGTTTAGTAGGACATGTACCAAAGGTAACCTCACAGATTTAATTCAGGTGGATGTGGTCTTTTAGACTAATTCCAGTCATGATTTTGGAGCAAGAGGATGACAGGCCATTAATGTAGCTGGCCTACGAGAACCAGCTCAGTGCTCCGCAGGCATTTCCATCGAGGAAGAGTCAACGCACCATTCCCTTCTTAGGTAACCTCTTGCCGCGTGCCCTAACTTGGCCAAGGGCCACTCTTCCCTG